AAAGACCTCACAAACACCTCACAAAGACTCTACAAAGACTCCACAAAGACCCCACAAAAATGCCACAAAGACCCAACAAAGACCCAACAACGACCCCACAAAGACTCCACAAAGACTCCACAAAGACCCCACAAAGACTCCATAACGACCCCACAAAGACGCCACAAAGACCCAACAACGACCCCACAAAGACCCCACAAAGACGCCACAAAGATTCAACAACGACCCCACATAGACTCCACATAGACTCCACAAAGACCCCCTGATCCAGATCCATGAAAGTAACATGAATTAATTTTATTCTGTGTTCAGCTCACAAAGAAATTCTGCGTCTGCAATACGAGAACTACAACAGATGTGTCTCTGACCAACACCTGATCAGGGTGAAGGTGCTGGCTGAAGTCGAGGGGCTGACATTGCCCCTCCTGTCTGTGTCTGACATCCCACTGAGAATGCCTGAGGTTCGCATACAGGTGAGAGAACACCTGAGTCTTTTCCAGCTACAACAGACCTTCATTCATCTGAAGAGGGGAAACCAAAGAAGAGTTGGGATCATTTAGCACATCTAGATGTTGTAGTCAAGACCAGGGTCTATCGAGGCTGAAACAAGACCAAGACTTTGAGGGGCTGGACCAAGACGAGACCAGAAAAAAAAAACACTACCCTACACAGGTTACACTTAAAATCAACTAAATCTCTGTGTGAGAGCCAGGTAAAGAATTTTGATACAAAGGCAGATTGCTAATGTTAGCTAATGTTAACACCACATACAGTATACAAAGGTAAGCTAGTGACAAAAGGTCTGACGTAGTCCCCACCGTCTCAGAAAGCTGCAGAATTTACAAGTATTTATTTTGTTTTAGAAATATATTGTTTTATGATTTATAGAGCTGAATTGTTTTACTAAAGATTTTGTGGACAGAATTATCAACGAGTCACGTTTGGATTTGAAACAGGACATTTTACATCCAACAAAAACAAAGATGTTAACAAATAAACTGGAGAATATTCTGGAAGTTTAGTGATGTTTCCAATGTTGTGGTCTTGAGACCAGGAGTGGTCTTGAGTATAATACTGCTTTGATGTTTGTCTTCTTATTCTGTAGATTTCAAGGAGGAACCTAAAGAGTCAGACCAAAACCTTACTAAACTTTGATCTGAAATCCAACACTTTTTAGTGATCCTCTGAAAACTTTACAGTAACAGCCCCACAGAAAGGGTTTTGTTCTGGTTTCACCTGTTTACTGCAGGTAAAAAGGGGTGGAAACGGTGTTTGTGTGAACTGTTTCAGACAGACCTGTCTTTTGTTTTTCAGGTTCTTGAACGGGTTTTTATTTGGGAACAAGCGTCGGCCGACATCTCCCTGACCAACCCCCTGCCTGTGCCTCTGAACAGAGGCGTGTTCTTTGTAGAGGGGCCCGGTCTGCTGACTGATACCCGGATTTACGTCACGTAGGTCACCTGGACTCAGTTCTGACCTTCTGTTCATAATGAACCAGGAAAACATGAAAATCTCCACTGAACTCCTTGTTTTTTTCAGTCATGCCATTGCTCCAGGTGAGAAGGTGACGGTGCACGTGTCCTTCACACCCTCCAGGGCCGGCGTCAGGAAGCTCCTGGTGGACTTCGACTCGGACCGGCTGAAGGACGTGAAGGGAGACGCCACCGTGGTTGTTTACAGGAGGCGTAGAAACGTCTCTCATGTCCCCGGAGGCTTCTAATGTAGAAACATCTCCCACGCGTCAGGGAATAAAAACACAAAGTTCTGATCAAATGTTGACTGATTCTAAAAACACACAAAATACAATGATTTGTCACCTGACTTAATGTTTTACTTCCTGTTTTTCATCCTGAATTAATAATTAAAATCAAATCAAAGGGCTAACGTAAGAAAAGACCCAGACTTTCAATAAATTAATCAATTTTTCTAATTTTATAATTTTGTCAGATAAATAAAACCACCCTTAAAACATCTTATTTAAATTTGTTCCGGTCTTTACTGAGTGAAGATCGGTTCTGTTCTGTTTCTCACAGTAATATTAGTATAAAATGGACTTTATGTGTTCTTTGGTTTGTTTTGTTGAACAGAAATTAATGCATTTGTGATCATTTCAAGCCCAGTTAGGTCCGGTTCTTAACGAGCTCATTTTGTTCCTGGACCTGCTGAGGACCCATGCAGTCCCTTTTGTGGGTGCATTCAGTCTAAAAGGACCAGAACCTTCAGGGTCCAACCTGAAAACAAGTTTTCATGATAATACAAGTAAAGTATCAAAGGGCATAGTTTTGCAAAATATGAATAAATGTTAGGAATTATTTTAAGCTTCCCCTCTGGTATCTGTGGTTCCTGTAAGCCTCTGCAGGTGAAACACTGTCTGTTGGACCCAACATGTTGATTCTTGATTCTTAAATAAAAGACAAACAATGTCAGAATCATTCATGCATTTATGCTTCATTTAATGTAATAAAAATATGCACAATTTTAATAAAGTAATTTTTCTCACATTAATTTAATGTCGTGTTATTATTTGGTTTGTTTGCAACATTAGCTGAACGCCTCCTCAGTGCAGATAACTGCACATTCATGTGACGTTAGACTTGTTCAGGATTTGAACCCAAGACCTCTCACAAGGGTTATTACAGTTC